ATATTGAATCTGTAAGATGAAAAAAAAAAAGCTTTTCCTCAAAGAGATATTAAGATGACATGTAAGAAGTGGTTAGGGCATTGCAAAAAATTAAATGTATTTTCTGTATATCATTTTAAGATCTATTTTTATAAAACTCACAATATTATCTTGTGTGCATTGTATTTATTTTTACAATTACCTTTATAGCAAGTGATTTTCTGAATAAAATGTTAAGCAAATTAATAACAGTACAAAAACACTGAAGTTGTTACATGAAGGACTGATTCTACAAAATGTTTCTCTATGCGATGGCATAATTGTAAAACTGTGCCAGCCACTGTGTGGTATGATATAGAAATATGGCCTTGAACATCTCACAACTGCCTGGAAATGTTTCTGAAACACCTGATACACAAAAGCTACACCATGGTGCCTAGAACGCATGTACTCTACTAGCACCAGATTGGAAGGGGAATGTTTTGCCACACAGGGATTACAAAATATTAATTGAATCAAAGACCTTCAGTGAAGCCAACCATATTTCAAGTAGTGTCTCAGATGCAGGATATGCAAAAGAGTAAGGAAAAATAGTCTTCGCTCTCAAAGATATAGTCTAATGAAGAAGGCAGACACATCAAAAAAGCACAACAAAAGGCTATAGGTGCTGAATTAAGAGTCTCTTCACGTACAATAGTACAACAACCAGAGCAAGAAGAGTCAGCAGAATAGACAGAAGGAGTGTCTGTCCCGAGATGCAGGAGAAAAACCAGATGAGCTGTCTCCTTGGGAACATTTCAAGTGCTCACCTGCACTTGACAATTTCACTGAGCACTAGGATCACATCAATGATTCTTTCAGAGCAATCCTGAACATCTTTACTGTTCATCTGGAAAAAGAAACCAACATACAATTAGCAAGCTTATATTAACAATTCTCCCAACTGACAAATTTAGTGAGGGCATATTATGTGTGTCAATCACTTGGCATTTGGAAAGCTTTCACAGAATTATCTAATGCAGATGCAATGTGAGTCTGGATAAACAGCTGAGGAATTCACAGGCCAATATGACACAAAAAAAAATTCAGGAAACCTGATACCAGAAATTTTGCAAAAGGGGAATGAGTATGTAAGATATTTTTAAAAAGCCAGGTACAGTGGCACACACCTATAGTCCCAGCAACTTGGGAGACTGAGGCAGGAAGATCATGAGTTTGAGACTAGGTTGGGTGACTTAAAAGAGATCTTGTCTTAAAAAGGGATGTGGATGTAGCTTACTGGTAGAACACTCAGGAGTTCAATCCCCAATACAAATAAAAGAAAAGAAAAAAACCCACAAATCCTAAATTCAGGCTTTGGATATAGCTCAGAGGTAGACTACTAACCTAGAATGTGTGAGGCACTGAGTTCATTCCCCAGTACCACAAGCACAGACAAATCCTAAGTTCCATGTTCTGGATTCTAGGTTTATGGAAACAAGTCAGACTATTCCCAACCACCAAAGGATTTGTGGACCTGTGGATGCCTAGCTTTGCAAATAGATTAAGCCTAATAAACTATGAGAACCATTACACAGGAGAGGCTTTTTTCACATGGTCAGAAAAGAATTCTCACTGGAGATATACATGAAGTACCTCTTTTTATGCTACTGACAGATTTCAAAAACAACTTGAGCATCAGATAATTAGATAACTTGGCTGAAGTTAGAGTGACTAAGAACTGGTACTATGTCTGTCTGACTTCCAAGTCCTGATGTAGTTTCTATCACATCAAGCTCTCTATCATAAAAAAAAATCACATTTAAGTACAGTCAACATAGTGTCTTCAGTTTCTCATAGTGGTTTTGAACCAAAAACATCTAAAATCTTCTAAATGCAGTATAGCTGTTTGTTATGAGACAACTACCAGGAAAATATTGATGAAATTTTTTTTGGTAGTACCTGGCAGCTCCCCCACAATAAGGGAAACCTAGAGGCAAAATCTCTGGTCAGGTTAACAAAAATATGTAGCTATTTATTATATTTTATGAACAAATTGGCATTTGTATATGAATCTTTTCAATGAAAATCATGCAAATTAATTAAAATCTTTGTATCCATTATCTTGAATCTATGCAAAGTAAAAGAGCAACTGAATTGTTTCATAACAATTTTCTCCCTTTAGTTTGCTTCTTAAAAGTGTGGTCAACAGATTTTTTTTAGTTTTTTAAATCTTTTTTAAAATTTATTTTTATGTAGTGCTGAGGTTTGAACCCAGTGACTAACACATGCTAAGTAAGCACTCTACTACTGAGCTACAACCATAGCCCACAAAATTTCTTGAAAAAAAATTTATACAGTATTATGTTTCTAGGAAATCTACATATCTATATTACAGTTTTCTCTTTATACATTTATAAAAATAAAAGCACTTGACTAGGGTGCTGGGAATGTAGCTTAATGATACAGTGCATGTTTAGCATGCATGAGGCCCTGAGTTCAATCCCTTGCACCTCAGTTGGAGGGTGTTGACTAGCTGAAAATGGATAATGTAAGCTATTTATTAACCATGTAGAAAATAAGTTTCTGATCTATAGCTGCAATCTGCAATTATCTGCAGAGACTACTCTTTTTCTTTCTTAATGGGGGAAGGGGGAAGGCTATAAAAATCTAGCTGCCTATGTTTAGTGAAATCATAAAAATAATATTTAAGTGACTTGTAACACTCTGAAGGAAAAAAAAATTCCAACAGTACATCATCTTTTGGAGCACTGAATTGGTAGAAATGTCTATGTATTAACTCTGGTCACCTGTTGTAGCCTAAATCTACTGATTTAAGTCTTTTAAAAAATGCCACTTATTTGAGCTTTTAATTATTCAGACAAGACCATGTTCCACAGAATATCTTATTTAAAAACACTTAAGTGATCCTGACAATCAATCCTTAAAAATATTATTCTAGACATTTCTGGTTAAATAAAGTAAGTACATACAAAGGAAGGAAGGAAGAAAGGAGGGGCACAACATATTTATAGGCTAACAATTCTTAAGAGCAGGTTATCAATGCTGTACATTCTTGCCTTTATCAGACCTGTAAAGAAGAAACTATATAATATGATGCATTGTTTTCCTCTAATAATAGCAAGTATATGTTAAACCTCCAAGTTCCTGTGTCAGTGTTACAGGTGGAAGGGGTTCTATTTACCCAAAAATCTATAAGTAGAATCTAGTAAGTATACTGTGGATGGTAATATAGAACTTAATCTTGAGTAACTAGGTCATGGGGAGGGGGTGCACAGGATCTGTCTTGAGATTGTTTGAATAATAAAAGTCAATTTGTTTGGAATTACTCCCTTTATTCTCTGCACTCAGCTCCTATCTTCAGTCCCAGACAACCAATAATCTGCAGTGTCCATAGGTTTGTCTTTTTTTCCTATGACTTCTAAAAAAATATGATTCAAATATATATTCAATATGTATCACTTTGTTAGAGAAAAGCAGAAAATATTGATATTTTATTGGACTATATAATTCAGTTAATAAAACTGTTGGTTTTTAAAAGTCGCCATTTTTTAAGTTACCCTTTCCTTTGGTAGCATTACTGCAGAAAATGTTTTCTGGACTGAATAATGTACTTTATCTCTATTTAAATGTGAAATAAAATTTTTAGAAAAAGGGGAAACACATTGCTTTATAAATGCAATGACACCCACTTTCTATCAACATATAACAATATTAATTTGTAAAATTACAATGCAAACCAAATGGAGAAAAATATTGAATGCTTGGAAGGGTAAAATGCAGAAAGTACACAAGAGGGCAGCAGAAAGGAGTACACCTATGGTTCAAAACCTGATCTATTCTTTGATATTAAGATGGGAGAGCAGAGTAATGATTAGGAGAAATGCAATAGTCTTTGGGTCATGAGCAATGTTAATTTCTTGATCTGGATGCTAGTTTCTGCATGTGTTCACTAAGTAACAATTCATTAAGCTGTATAGTTAAGACTTGTGAATTGTTCTTATGTATGATGTACATCAAAAAATTCGATAATTTTATAAGGGTACTTCTATTAAATTTTTAGCAGTAATTATGTTAAAAAAAAGGTTACTTCAGGCAGGATGAGGTTCAGTGGAAGAGTGCTTGCCTAGCATTTCTGAGGCTCTGGGGTCAATCCCCAGCATCGCAGCAAAAAAAAAAAAAAAAAAAAGTTATTTTGAGCTGTACCAAATTGTTTTACATAATCATTACTTTCCATTTGTAGTCATCATTCACTCATAGAATGTTGTTAAATTTCTTAAGTGTTAGATATGGAATGTTCTTTTCACACTCAATACTCTCTTCACAAAGTAGGCTTTCCTTCTACCTAATTTCAGACAAGGCTAGGGAAACACAGGAAGTTCCAGAAGAGAGACTAATGTATTATAGATGGGATTCCTGATTTCAAGCAAGTACCAAGGAAAAAAAACTAATAGCTTCTGGTTCAGCACCCCAAAAAGTTTGCCTGTTAAACAAAACACTTATCCTCTGCCAAGAAGAGAAAATGTTCAGGTGTCCTAACAGGTTGCAAAATCTGTAACAGTGAATAGCAAATAGACTTAACTCACTCACTTGGGATGCAATCACCACAAAATATTCCATTCCTGTGGTTACTGCCTGTCTGCAAGTTTAACCAGGTTATCACTAAATTCAAACATGGGCCATGACTTACTTTCAAAAACGAATGCATACTGAGAGAATCACGGTTCTTCCAGAGTGTCCAGAAATAGGCACTGGGCATTGGAAGTCCAGCAGCCTAAATCATACTCTATGAATATAGTTTTCATTATAAGAGGTGGACATCACATGCGTTTTGCTAGCAATTCCCCAGAAATATCTACTCTATAGGGCAATACCTCATAAACTCAATGGGAAATGAAATTTCTAGTCAGCAGTG